GGCATGAAAAAGCTTCATGAGTACCCCCACGCGGGGTATCACCTGTTTTCCATGTCGTCGGGAAAAGGTAAAATGTCTCGTGTGCAGGGAGTTTCCTCGCCGATGGAGTTCTGGTATGATGCTCCTGTCGAGTCTCCTTCTGAGTCGGCTGTTTGCGTTGCGACAACCGTCCCCTTTTCGGTGTCTCCCAGTTTGGCTATGCAGTTCGCAGGTTCTGTTTGCCAACAGGAGGCGACCATCTTGCTCGATTCGGGCAGTCAAGCCGCTCATTTACTCAGCGCAGGTTTTGCACGGCGCGTGGGTTTGGTGGTTAAGCCGCCTGACGGTTCGACTGCAGCACCCAAGATCGTCGTGGGTAACGGACAGCCAGTTCCATTTGTAGGCTTTGCTGAAGTGCCTGTTCGTATACAGGGCTATAAGGCTCGCTTGCAGTGCGCTGTCGTTGAATTTAGTCCCGCGTTCGACCTTATTTTGGGTGAACCTTGGATTTCGGCTACTGGGGCTATTCTTGAGTTATGCAATAACGCTGCCCGTTTAACTCGTATCTCGGGTCATCCTGTTTTGCGTAACGGTCCCTTTACACCGATTCCTAAGCCATCTGGTTCTTCTCCTGAAGTTCTGGATGCAGTTGCGCATTGCTCACTTGCGCAGGCCATGGAGGAGAGTGACACGTTCTACCTATGTCTCGTCTCGGCTGCGGATCCTGTTCCGGATGCTGTCAATTTGCCGGGGGAGGAGTCGTCACTTCCGCCATCGCAGTCGTCTGTTTCCGCTTTCGCGCAGAAGGTTAGTGACGTCGTGCGCGGCGAGTCACCTGCGGATTTGCGTCTTAAGGCTTTGTTGCTGGAAAAAGCGCATTTATTTCCAGACCAGTTGCCTGCTTCGTTACCTCCTGATCGTAATTTGCCGCCTGTCGTTCCGTTGGAGCCTGGTGCTCGTCCACCTGCTCAACGCATGTTTCGCTATTCGCTCCCTGAGCAAGAGGAAATGCAAAGGCAAATTTCGGATCTTTTGGAGAAGGGATTTATTGAACCTTCGTGTTCGCCCTTTGGTGCGCCTGTCTTGTTCGTTAAGAAGAAGGATGGGACTTTACGTATGTGTGTTGACTATCGCGCAGTCAACAGCCTCACGATCAAAAATCGTTTTCCGTTGCCTCGGATAGATGATTTGTTGGATCGTTTGCGAGGTGCGACGGTTTTCAGCTCACTTGATTTAACGCAGGGTTATCACCAGTTACGGTTAAATCCTAGCGATGTGGAGCGTACCGCGTTTCGCACTCCTTTCGGGCATTATCAGTATAAAGTTATGCCTTTTGGCCTGACTAATGCTCCTGCTGTCTTCCAGTCTGCCATGAATCAAGCCTTGCAGGGTTTGCCGTTCGTGGTAGTGTATCTGGACGATATTCTGATCTTCTCGAAGACCGCCGATGAACACGTTGAGCATCTGCGTGCAGTGCTTGAACGTCTCGAACAGCGTCAGTTCTACTGTAAGCTGTCCAAGTGCGAGTTCTTCAAACCGTCCGTTTCGTTTTTGGGGCATATCGTATCGGCCGACGGTGTACGGCCCGATCCTCGGAAGACTGCTGTTGTCCAACAGTGGCCTTTGCCCAAGAATGTTTCGGAGCTTCGATCTTTCCTGGGTCTTGCTAATTACTTCAGGAAATTTATTCGTGCGTATGCGGCTTTGGTTAAACCGCTAACGGACTTGCTTTCTCCTAAGACTAAGTGGTTTTGGTCGGAGAAATGCGACGAGGCTTTCCTTCGTGTTAAGGAAGCGCTCACTCAGGCACCAGTGCTTGCTTTGCCGGATCCTCGTGAACCTTTCGAGGTGATCGCGGATGCTAGCGACTTCGCATTGGGTGCAATTTTGCTCCAGCGTGGAAGGCCAGTGGCTTTTGAGAGCCGTAAACTGATTCCTGCTGAGTTGAACTACATCGTCACTGAAAAAGAGCTCTTGGCCGTTGTGCATGCGCTCAAATTGTGGCGTTGTTACCTCGAAGGTGTAAAGTTTACGGTCGTTACAGATCACGAACCTAACACCGCCATGCGCCGTAAGTCTCTGTTGTCTCGACGTGTGGCGCGGTGGTCGGAATTTCTGGAGTCTTTCGATTTCGATTGGCAGTATCGCGCGGGTCGTTGCAATCCTGCAGATCCGTTGTCTCGGCTTCCGGGACACATCGACGTTGAAACGACGAAGGTTATGACGATTAGTGCTCAACGGTTGGGAGAAATTTCTGCCTTCCGTGACACCACCGTAGAGCTTAAGTGCTCTTTTCCTATGTTCGAGTCATCGGTACTTGATGGGTATGGTATCGATCCTTGGTTTAAAATATCAGAAAACACGGTTGCATTATCGCAACGTGGTCAATTCTGGTATCGAGGAGATGCGTTGGTTGTGCCAGATCATGCTGATTTGCGTACTACCGTTCTGCGTCTTTGTCATGACCATCCGTTGGCAGGCCATACGGGCGTAACCAAAACTCTTGATTTGGTGCGTCGTTCGTTTTGGTGGCCTAGGCTGCGTCAATCGGTCGCAGCGTACTGTCGTACGTGTGACAGCTGTCAGAGGGTAAAGGCAGATACCAGTCTCCCTGGTGGTTTGCTTCTTCCGCTGCCGATTCCTGATCAGAAGTGGTCTTTCGTGACCATGGATTTTATTACTGATCTGCCTCCCGATCCTGATGGCAATACTTCGATCTATGTGTTTGTGGACAAACTCACCAAGATGGTTCGGTTTGTGCCCTGTAAGGCCTCTGTTGACTCTGTCAAAGCGGCTGAAATCTTCGTCAACACCATTGTGTGTTCGTACGGTGTTCCGTCTGTCGTCATTTGCGACAGGGATCCTAAGTTTACCTCTGCCTTTTTCGAGTCGCTTTTTGATGGATATCAAATCGACTTGCGTCGCAGTTCTGGTTATCATCCTCAAACGGATGGCCAAACAGAACGTGCAAATCGTGTTCTGGAGGATATGTTGCGTCATTTCGTTTCTGGCGATCAATCCTCATGGTCCCGTTATCTGCCGATGGCTGAGTTCGCCATGAACAATTCGTTGCATGAGTCTACGCGAACTACTCCTTTTCGGTTGATGTACGGATATGAACCCCTAACTCCGGCTTCTCACCTGGTTCGCAAATTGGGGGAGGAGAGGGCCAAGACGCGCTTGCAAAGCGTGGTCAAACTGTCTAATCCGTTATCTGTTAAATTCAGTACGGATATGCAGAATGCTTTGGAACGAGCTAAGTCTTGCTTGGCTGCTGCTCGAGATCGGATGAAGAAATGGGCTGACAAAGGTCGCTCGGAACGAGGACTTTCTGTTGGTGATCGTGTACTCTTGAGTACGAAACACATGACTATTAAAGGTGTGCGCAAATTGCTGCCTCGCTTTATCGGACCCTTTGTGGTTAAGGAAAAGATCAACGCGGTTGCGTATCGGTTGGATCTTCCTCCTGCGGTGCGGATACATGATGTATTTCATGTGTCACTCCTTCGTCCGTATCACGATGGTGGTCGCGTTCAGTTACCTCCGCCACCTCAGATTGTTGAGGGTGAATTGGAGTTCGAAGTTGAGTCCATTTTGCTTCACAAAGAAGTGAAAGAAGGACGTCGACAAAAGCGTTTCTACCTAATGCGTTGGAAAGGTCAGGGCCCGGAATTTGATTCGTGGGAACCCGAAGCAAACCTAACTAACTGCGGCGATTTGTTGCGCGACTACTGGGCTCGTCAATCTGACTCAGTTCCAACCTCGAAGTCCCAAGGTCAGGCGACACTTTCGGGTGACGCTGACGCTTCTGGCTCGAAGCCGCATCGAGCTCCTCAGACTACTCGTCACGGCCGTGTGATCAAAAAGCCTTCGCGCTTTAATGCTTTTCTCAACCACTTGTCTGTCACCAGCGGGGTTCCGGAATCCCTGCTTTTTCCTCTCGTGTGGCGGTGAAGCCAAGGTTGGCTGGCTGTCGGGACGACCAGCCATTTAGGGGGGGGAATGATGTAACGTGCAAGAGCAGTTACATAACTCTCAATGCTTCTCTTCAACGGGGTTCACTCAGCTATTCTCAAGATCTTCCTTTTGCGACGTCGTACATTAGTGCGGGTCGTACACTGGATGGCTACACCTTCTCTGGTGTAATCGCATCCGGTGTCTTTCGACACCACCATGACTGGTTGTGATAAGCCTTAACGTAACACACACTCTCACAAAACACTACTACGCTCTCGAGAGGAGTCCTCCCCGTTCACTGCACTGCTATTCCCTCGACATGGCAATTGCAACATTGGTTGTTGCAACAACCAAGCAGCAAGGACAGCTACCTAAAGTTCACCACAATTAATGCTCTGCTGACCATTAGCTTTACTTTTTAAATTCTGGTTTTGGATGCGAACCCGCGTATCACACATTGTCTCGAGTCCTTTTTATTTCAGATGCAGTGGCGTGTGTGACACATGCAGCGCTTGCTGGGAAAGCCGGTTTTCATCCAACGCACGGTGCCATGAATATGTACATGTACAAATGCTAGTGCAGTAGCATCAGGGAAGCGAGTCGAGGGAAAGTCTCCAAGCAAGCGCTCCAAGAGTTACTTATTACGGTCACGGAGAAAAAGAGGATGAAGGTACGTAATTATTTGCCCAAGTAGAACTCCGGATGGAGTTAACTGAGATGCTCCCGCCCACGTCTTTTTTCCCTGTGGACTGAGGATTGATCAAGTGTGTGATGGATCACCAAGGGAGAGATTCGCATCACGGGAGAGATTCGCACTCCCGAAATTCCATCAATCCCCAGCAGCAGAGCTTGTGATATAATGTTCCGGACAGAGCACCTGCAAATACCCGACTGCTGCTCACCAAGTCCAAAGGTGTCACAGGACCCCCCCCCGTCCCCCACAGAAATGGGAGCAACCGAAGTTCCGTAACCCACATGCGTTAGTTAGTTGACAGTTGGTTAAGGAGCACCATATCATCAGCACGGCTGTTTCGCAAAAGAGGGAAGGCGCTTTCCAAGACTTCTCAACTTTTCTTCTCAAAGACGTTTAATTTCCCAACATCAAGCATCAGTTCACCATTTGTATTGCCAGTGTCAGCTCTGTGCTGCAGAGCCCATGAATTGCACGGCATTCATTTACGACATACGATGAAATGTACGGCGGAATGTACAGACCAACGAACCTGGCGGTCGAATTCGGAGTGCATTCAGTGTTCTTGAAATCAATGACCGAAACGCGGTCCTTGCAGTGCGTGCGCTCATAACCGCTTGATGCAGTTACCCCGGCAAGCAAAGCCAACAACGGCTGCCCAGGCCACCCAACCTGGACCCGCTGGCCACCTTACCCTCCCCGGTACTGCCACAACCGGGACGCCCAGGAATTTTTCATGGCACTTGCCGCCGCCCAGCTGTTTCAATATCCGACGGCCGCCCCTCCGCTCCTTTGGCTGAGGCCCGCCTCTCCGCTTCTTTGGCCGACGGCCGCCTCTCCGCTTCTTTGGCCGATGGCCGCCTCTCCGCTTCTTTCGCTGAGGCCCGCCGCGGCCCAATGTGGACACCAAAAAAGGACATCTTATGCACCGGCAGCCGCATGGACAACTGCAAGCTTCCCTTTTTCCTCGACTGCAGCGGCGTTACTCCATCACGCTGCTCCTCCTCCTCCTCCTCCTCTTCCTGCCGGTAGCGGTGTTGCGGCAGTTGCTGGTGCAGGGCCTCGTGCACTGTGCTCCTCCGACCCATCAGTGGTCCCAGCCTGTGGCGAGCCAGGAAGCCCTGCACAGCGGCCCTTACGTGCAGAGCGGCGTGGAAGTGTGCGGCGGTGTATTTGGGGAAGTGGGCGTGACCGCTGCCCGGAAGGCGCTTCATGTATTGGTTGATAAGCCATTCCTCTTCAATCTCGGGCAGCTCGCATCCAGCCAGCCGCCCAGCCAGCGCGTGCAGGGTTTCCAAGAATGTCACCTTGGGGTGCGCATGGGGATTTTGATGGTTAGGGTGATCGGGATGATTGGTTGCGGTCTGATCTGGTGACACTAACGCAATTAGCAGCAGCAGATGAAGGTCCTGAATTCGATTCCTGGGCAGATCCCGATATTGATCGGGAGAATTAGGTTTACAGTTTGCTACTGAGATGTGGAGATGAGGTCTAGTGGATGGACTAAGTTTCGCATTCTGAATTGGTGGCGATAAATGACCTGTATCTACGGATGTCAGGTGACCGGATGAGGAGGGGTCTAGGTGGCAGGACCCAAAACCCGCCAACGGTCGTACGGTCGTGCATTCTAAATATATATAGTCCATGGCCCCCATTGACGAAAACCCCCGCATTCGCACGGAACTTGTAAACTTGTAACTTGGTTGCGGTGTGTTTCTGTGTGTTTTGTTAGCGTGTGATGGTAGACGACCGGGGTCTAGAGGCGGGCCGCGGTTTTGAGGCCCTGAAACATTGTCCCACAAGTAAAAATGGGACGCACCTTCCCTTCCTCCCTTGCTTTTCTTCCCTGTTAGGCCCTTCTCATCCCTCCTCAAGCCCCTGAACACTTATATACATCCACACCTGATTGTTCTGGTGCACGGGAATATCCACAGCCATGATAATCGCCTGAATGGCCGTCCGGGAGGGCAGCCCCTTGGTGCCCAGGGGCGGTTCAAGCTCCCCAATTACTAGAGGCAGCTTGGCCGCGTGGATCGACCCAGTCGCGTTAGGATCCGCCAAGCCCCAGGCGTCAACAAAACGGCCAAGCATGGTCCGGGAGACGGGTAGCGCCTCGTCCGCCTCCTGCGCCAACATGTTTTCTAGGATGATCGCGATGATTAGGTTGAGCAAGATGGAGCCGCAGAGGACCACAAAGGTGGGAAAGTAGAGGACTGCAACTGCCGGGCTGAGGGCACACTGATTGTGAACGTGGTCGGAGGGCAGGGCGGCCAGTAGCGGATCGGAGGGATCCAGGTACGTGCCGGCCGTGACCAAGATGGTGGTGGTAGAGGCAGCAGTGGTGGAGTTGGCAGGGGAGGGAGTGTTACCGCCAACACCGCCGGTTGTATTGTTGGCCGTGGCGTTGAGGGTCGTGGTGACGGTGACACGGACACACTCGCGCGAAACCATGCAGTCTAGCATGATGCCGTCCCAGCTCTCACCGGTTATGAGCCTAGATTGGGTCGAAGGCGGGGAGCGGGTAGTGGCGGGAAGGAGAGGGAAGATGGGAGGGAGGCAAGGGTGTTGGAATTTCCTGGATTATCTATTTGATAATTTAACCCTAAAAACATGCATGTTTACTCAAGCGAAACATCCCGCAACCTGCCGTACTCCCTCCTCTCCCTCCCCTCCCTCCTCTCCCTCCTCTCCCTCCTCTCCCTCCTCTCCCTCCTCTCCCTCCTCTCCCTCCTCTCCCTCCTCTCCCTCCTCTCCCTCCTCTCCCTCCTCTCCCTCCTCTCCCTCCTCTCCCTCCTCTCCCTCCTCTCCCTCCTCTCCCTCCTCTCCCTCCTCTCCCTCCTCTCCCTCCTCTCCCTCCTCTCCCTCCTCTCCCTCCTCTCCCTCCTCTCCCTCCTCTCCCTCCTCTCCCTCCTCTCCCTCCTCTCCCTCCGCGCGCACCTCATCAACACCAACATGGCATGGGGGAAGTTACTAAAGTTGGCATGACGGTTGAGGAAGTCGCCGTACATGATATCGCCAAAAAGGTTCATGCCGATAATGGCGTAAACGCTGAAAAACAGCAACATGATGCCACCAACATTTGCCAGAGCAGGCAGCGAGTACACCAAGGTCATGAGCAACCGCTGGACGCCAGTTGCCTGGGTGCCAGGAGGTGCCGGGGGGCGATGGGTGGGTCTTAGGAAAAAACAGCTGGTGGTTAGAGAGGACGGATGGGAGGTTTGTGTGTGTGTGTGTGTTACAAGGTTGGGGGTGCGTGACCCCATACCTGTAAAACTACCCATACGAGCCGAAGGCCCAAGGCCAAGGGAGATTTAAATTACAGATAACGCGCAAGCGCGGGGCCATCCATAGAAGCCGGAGTTCCCATCCATGGACGGAATAAAGGCGGCGATGGCTACACTTGCTGGAATGTACAGACCGGAATGTAAGGATAGTGCTGACAACTTGCAAGGATGGAGCAGCTTAAGTGGATTGGAAAGAGGCAGGCGGGCGGGGTGGCCACCAAGTCGACAAGACAGACCTCCTACAGACGCAACGACATGGGCGAGGCCAAGAAGGTATGCGTGTTGGCCTCTTGCAGACCTACGACGCTGCCTAACAGCCGTATCAATCTGAAGCATTAAAGGCTGGAGGACTGAGGGATCTTGCCATAAGAAGCCTTTGGTGGACGGCTGCTATCCTTTTGGCAGCAAGCGCCTTTCGCTTGCCCTGCAACTCGCCATGGAGACTGACTCACCTCCGATACCACCATGCCAATAATTGAACACGTAAGCTATATGTGCTCTCCCTTAATTTGACAAGAAGAACTCATTTGTCTCCTTATCCAGAGAGGCTTATTCAGGAACACCATACGACCCACCATCGCTATATGATCACCTACCCTCCGGATGAGTCGGACGACCCTGACCACTCTCAGCACCCGCATCACTGGCATGAAGCTCAGGTCACGTGTCCCGCTGAAGTCCAGCGCCACGGACACTGCCGACACCGCCGCCACGAAGCAGTCGAAGCAGTTCCAGCCGTCGCGGAAGTACGGCCGGGGGCCGAACGCCGCCACCTTGAGAACCGCCTCCACCACAAAAATGCACGTGAACACGAGGTTGCTGTACGACATAACGGCCTGTACGATGATGGACAGTAGGTCCAAGGTGAAAGATGCACGGCGGTCGCGTCTTGACTGTTTTGTGGTTTCGAATTGCCGTTGTTGGCACCGGATTGCTCGGCGTGGTGTAGTGCAAATCAAGTGGGCATGAAGTCATTTGTTGCACATGTGAAATTTAAATGCAAGTTATACCCCACCTACCTGATTACCGAGATTGATAACCACAGGATGCGACACGACCCACGTTGCGGATAAGGCAGGAAGGCTGGACTAAATGGGCCTCTTGCCTGCATTACGTTTCTTATCTGTTCCCCCACGACCAGCCCCCCGGCCCTTTCCCACACACACGCGTGCGCCATACTCCCAACAGTCTCACCCCGCTCGCGTCCCCTCCCTACCTCACACCTACCAATACCCAACCACCGACCGCCCCACCCATACCCACATGCCAGCCATCCGACATGTCTGCATGCACCATCGCCATGAAAATTACATTGGCCAAAATGGTGATCAGGATTGCATTGCCAAAGGTGGAGCTGCTGACAGCATCGAACAGCGCCCGCCGCCAAGGAGGCTCTTCGGGCCGTGGGGGCCGAGGCTGTATGGCAGTGCGCAGCAGCAGCTTCTGCACGTCCACCCATGCCTGCTGCTGCGGCGTCATGAAGACGCTGGGGGCAGTCTGCTCGCGCTGCAGCTCGGCCACCTGAGGGACCGTAACCACGCAGCAGCAGCAGCAGCAGCAGGAGCAGCAGCAGCAGGCGGGTATGTCGGTGTTGATAAGCGGGAACGGCACCCACGCTAGGTGCCATATTGCGCACATGTATGTATGCCGCTAACGATAAATTCTCTGCATATTCTGCAAGCGTGTGAATAATCTGTAAGTCTTTGTTAAAGGGATAATTAATAGATGCTCCCGGTGTGCTTGTATGTACGTGCACGCATGCCAGCTATATACAAAGGAATGTGAAACAGAGTAGGCATCTGCACGTGCGAACATGTCTAACACGCATATTCTGAGAGAGGCCATCCTCCCATCGCGACATCGGCGGGTATGAAGGTAAGCAGTAGGTGCGAGCGGTAACACAAGCTAGCTTAGACGCGCCTGCAGAAACACTTAAGAGCGGCCCTCGCCTGTTGCAGACGCAGCCAAGGATTGGATACTTTGGAATGCGGCACGCCGCAAGTCAGGCACGATAAAAGGGCGACCCGCAATAACAGGGAGTTGCACAACGGCATGTATTGTAGGTCTACGTCCCCCGGGTCAGCCGACCGACAGGTAAGGACGAAGAAGTCGCCCCGGCCCCACATCCGCTGCTGTCCGTCCCCCTCTTCACCTTTTCGAGCGTCACACCAACGAAGAGGTTCAAAATGAAGAAGGAGCAGACGGAGATGAAGACTACGAAGAACAGCAGCACCAAGGGGGAGTGGTTCCGAAGAGGCTGCCGACCCAAGCCGACGGCATCAACCGCATTGAAGGCAATGTCCACCCACAACTCCAAAGTTGACACTTGGAACAACGTCAACATGGCCACGCCCACATTGTCGAAGTTGGCCTTGGGGTTGACCCACCTGCGTTGTTGCATGCCCGGGGTGAAGATGTTGAGGAGGTGCACAATAAGCACAAAAAAAGGAGCACATGCTTCATCGCACGCAAAACCCGGCGAATCCCGCATTCCTATTGCTTGCCCATGGCTGTTTGCTTCGGGCTTTCCATGCGGTGGTACAAGGCGGGATTTTATACGTCTTCTCGCCTCTGCTGGCAGTGTTTGGGAGCGGAAAGCACGACTACTGCCTGTTCGAATCTGTTCGAACCCATTGGAGTCATATCCGTTCAGTTTGGTGATATGTAACGTAAGCATCCACACATATACCCCAACGGCTTTACTCCACTCAATATGAAGGGGGAAACATAAACCCCAACGGTTTTACTCCACTCACAGAGTGCTGATGTTGTATGCGGGCATCGATACGTTGAGTGCGCTGTAATAGGCCGATTGGGAGATGGTCTGGTTGCCAGCTTCACACCACGCGCGCGTCAGCTGCTGACCGTACGGCAGTACGTAGTACGGATCAATCCGCTCTCCACTGGCCGCATCCACGCAGTTGTACAGCTTGCCCTTGAACAGGTTGACCGCCAGGATGGCGAAGATGAGGTAGAAAAACACGCACACCAGCGCCACGTTGGCCATCGCGGGCAGTACGGCGAAGAGGGCATTGACCACAATGCGCAGCCCAGGAAAGCGGCTAGCGGCCCGCAGCGGCCGCAGAGCACGCAGTGTGCGCAGCACGCGCAGCATCTGCAGGTTGCCGTCGTCCATCCCCAGCGCCTCCACCACAATCAACGCCCAGCCCACCAACACAATCACCAAATCCAACACATTCCAGCCGTTGCGGATATAGGCGTGCCTGCCGGTGAACGCAAAGCCAAACGTCACAATCTTGAGCACGGCTTCCAGTGTGAATGTGCCAGTGAAGATGTAATCCAGGACGCGCAGCGTGAGCGCCAGTTGGGTTTCCGGTTTCAAGGAGGGGGTATCTAATGCCAGAGCAACAGAAGACGCCACGATGAATGCCAGGATGGTTGCCTCAAAATGGCTGTTGTGCACGAGCCATGCTGCGCGCCACCGCAGCCAGTGGTCGGGTCCGAACAGTCCTAGAGCACGGCCCCTAATCAACGTGGATAAGTGCATGTGGCGCCGCACTTCCCGAACCGCTGCCAGAGACGACAGAATCCAACGAAAGGACTTCCGAAGCGTGTCAACAAAACCACGATCATTGGCTGCGGCCCTAGCAGAACCCCTCCCGCCACCAATGCTGCTACTGCTGCTGCTGCTGTCGTTGTCGCTGATAGCATCATCGGTGGTACTGCTACTGCTGCTTCTATTACTATTGCTGCTGCTGCTACGGTGGCTGCCGTTGCCAGCGGTACGATCACTGTTGCGTGCGAAGATGGCGGAAGCGCTGGCAAGAAGTCCTATGGCGGGGAATGCGGAGGGTTGTTCCTCGTCGCGCCCAGCCCAGAGCATCCTGGAGGACCACGCTCGTAGCCGGGCGCCTATCTTCGCTGAGGGTGCTGAGCCTTCAATATGGTTGTTGTTGGTAGTGGTGGCTGCGGCACCAGTATCGTTCATGAAACGAACGCCAAGGGTTGAGGCGCCAGCTGCATCGCACGGGTCCCGCGCCGTGACAGAAGCAGCTACGGCGCGAGGACTTGCGACGGTGGCAGTTGTAGCGGTGACGGCATAAACCGTCGCCTGGCCGTCAGCCGCCGGAGCACCGGCTCGAAGCAGCGCGGACAGTGGCACAGCAGCCGCAGCCGTCGAGTTGGCAGGATCGAGGAACGACGGGCTCTGAGACGCCACCTGGAGGCTACCTAAACCATGAAAAGAAGCGGAGCCAGCGATTGCACCCGGCAGTAACAGTGGCTGCTGCTGCTGCTGCTGCTGAGACGGCGACTGCCCCGCGGAAGGAGGGAATGGTTGCGGCGTCTGCGCTTGTGCCGGCAATTGTGCTCCTGCCGACTGATATGCCGACTGAACAGGTGGCAATGGGTTATGAGCCCAGAAGCTTGCCCGCTCCGAACCAAGTCGACTTTCTGGACCCAGCGGCATGACCCGCCGCCGGCTCACACCGCCAATGCTCCATCTATTCGGTGACTGCAGAGAGTACTGAGCGATGTCCATCATTTCGCCTGAAGCCACGCCTGGCAAATGGCCTAGTGCGGAGCTCCCGATTGTCGACACCACCGAACCCCTCCACGAGTGAACCTCCTCATGTTCCACACCCGATGGCGGGGAGCTAATGGCGGCCGCCGCTGCTGCGGCTGCTGCCGCCGCCGCCATACTGCCCCTAGCCCCGGCGCTGCTCAAGCTGATCCTCAGCGGCGGCAGTAGAGGCGGCGGCTGTGGCTGCGGCGGCGGCTGCTGATCGCACGCAGGGCCTGATGGATCTGGTATGCGAGTAGCCGCGGCACTGCCGCCACACCCGCCTAGGCCAGTGGCAAGATTCCCATCCGCCGTTGGGCCTCCGCCCCCTGTCGCCGCCTGAAGCACTTCTGCCGCTGCCCAGCCGCTGGGCTCTGCGCCGTTTAGGTCAGAATCCGAATCAAGGTCCAAGTCCTGCTGCTGTCCCTGTAGCTGCTTTCCTGTCCAAGGGCCGAGGTCATTTAGTTCACGGGTGCCATCTCCTCCAGGACCACCAGCAGCGGATGCGGCCAGGGCGGTACGGGTGCTGTTGTCCCGGCTCAAATTGGCATTGCTGCTATTCGAAGCACCGTCGGTTTCGAGGACGCCTGGTTGGTGGGGTCCGGGGTGATGAGGGGATGGTGATGCGGGGCTGCTATGGCGCTGTGAGAGGCAGTACGTGGGGTTGTGTCGCCAGTCCTCTCGCCCAGTGTCGCTTGCGCAGAGTTGGACTGTTTTCCCATCACTGCGTCGCAGTGCCATGTCTAGAGCACGTCTTGCTTCCCTGTACCCCTTGCCGCCCGCTGTTCAATTGCATGCGTTGCTCTAGCTTAGGAAATACCCCCATCATACAAGGTCAGGCTCTACTAGTAACGCACACACCAATGCCCCTGGAGGTTCCAGGATCGAGACCTGTCAGGGTCGGTAATTCCTTTCGAAGGTGGTAAGAGGTGTAAGAGTGTCCTTAATCGATGGACGGTGGTGACCAGGAATATTGTAGACCTGTGAGTGGACTAGGAATGGAGCTGAGCCGCTATTGATCCGGCAATATTAGCTATTAGTGTCGGTGGTGGGTGCGCAATCCTCTGAGATGTTGGCTAGGGTAATTGGATGAGGGTACCCCGAAATACCGGGGAAAGCAGGGTTTCGCCGGGTAGAGGCCACGGGTGAAGATGTTTGCACCCCTGTCCCACACGTCATATCATCATCATCCAACCCTAAGAACTCACCTGTGAAGTTGTCCAGCAGGATGGCGATGAAGAGGTTAAACACCAAGTATGTGCCAACCAATATGACAACAACGTAGTACACCGCCGCCCAAGGCGATGTCGTGCGCATGCTGTCGTACATGATATTGTTCCAGTTCTCTCCCGTCAGCAATTGAAACACCGTGTACATGGCCCAAAACACGTTGTCAAAGTTGGCCCTGGGCACCTGCGACTTGCCCACCATGGCCAGGTACTCGCACCCGCCCAAGACCGCCCCACCAGGCACCGGGCTTCCGGACGTGGTGTTGCTGCCGTTATTGCCGTTGCTGCCGTTATTGCCGTTGCTGCCGTTATTGCCGTTGCTGGCATCAGCTGCCTCTGCCGCCGCGGCCTCCGCGGTATCGCAGAAGCGCTCGCAGTAGGCCAGGCCGTTGTAGAACGACCCCGGCGCCTCCACCCAGGCTCCCAGCTGGTCTTCCGCACAGGGCAGGTAGCAGTGGAAGTGGTTGGGGCACTGGCCCCACACTCGCTGACCCGGCGGACACACGGGGCGGGAGCCGGACACGTAGTCACAAAACATGAACCTGCGAGGGGGAGGAAGAATTGGGGAAGAGAACGGGGGCGCAGGCCAGAAGCAAGGCGAGATAAATGTGACAGAAGTCCAGAATAACAACGATCAAACATTTGCCCTTCATTTGCCCTTCAACGGTGTGTTGGACACTTCAGCACTTAAGCCGTTACCTCTAGGGTTATAGGGTAAGCGTAGCATGAACAGAAACTCTCCAGTCGTCTTTCCGCTCATTCCATCCTTACTACTACTCGTCGTTGGGAATACAAAAGCGCGCCACCTTGAAGTGCATGAATGTAGTGAACGGAGTGCCGATGCCGCAATCACACACAGCAGTGTGTGAGTCCATACGGCCCCTCCCCCCCGGCGTTTACGAACGTCTACCGCACTGAGTGCGCGGAACTTGTTTAGCTTAGGACACAGCACACCACAGCACAGCACAGCAGAGCACAGCACCGCACCGCACAGCACAGTAGAGCACTTCACAGCACAACACAGCACAGCACAGGCCCCGAAGAGATTCGAAGAAGGCATGCAAGATTCCCGGGGCCATAAGGCCCCGTCACCCGGGGAGCCCCAGCAGGCCAAAAGAGATGAGGTTGGATTAGCCAATGTTAGGCAGTCCTGAACGCCACCTGCAACCATGACATCCCAAAATGATCTCGGGGAGTGTCACAAGTCGTCAGCCGCTTGTCACCCGTTAAGTGTCCTAACCTTCTTAAACTGCACAATCCGAGTCTTACCTGTATCCAAAGAGCTGCATGCCCATAAGGGCAAAAATAAACATGAATAGCAGCATCAGCATCATCAGGTAGAAGGTAGACATGATGCTGCGCATGATGGCATGGAGAATAACGTACAGCTCGCGCCAAGCCCGCATCAATCGGAAAATGCGCAACAGGCGCAGCATGCGAAGCACAGACAGCGGCCCCACGCCCCCCACGCCGGGCGCCAAATCCAGGACCAGCTCCGTCACGGATACGACCATCACTACGAAGTCAAACACGTTCATGCCGTCTTTAAAATACCTGGGGTTGGTGTACGACAAAACACATACACGCGGACACACGTGGGGGTGTGTACCCGTAAAGACACGTGCAAGTGATGGGTGGTCGCGGCATCTAAAGTTAATAAAAAGTGCAAGTGAAGAGGAGACGACCGATTATGTAGTAGCTGGTACTTAGTACGGTACACATATCGTCTAAAAACATGCGCTAAGCGCTCCACCAGCATCTCGAGAGGCCTTTTCAGCGGCCAGCTACCACAGACTCGGATCTGTCAGACATCGCATTGGTTTTGATGTGTTAATGGATAGAGTAGGGACAGGCGACATTACAAGATTGATTCAACGACGTTATTATGTTCAGAAGTGACGATGACGATAACGAGCCGTTTAGCTGCGTGCAACTCAAAACACGGGCAGGAAAGGGGGTCCTTGGGGCAGGGGGGGAGGGGGGAAAAGAGGGCGAAAACTGGAGTTGGCGGGAATAGGGGAGAAGAGAGAGGAAAGAGAGGAAAGAGAGGGGGAGAGAGAGAAGGCTGAAGACAGGGGCGCTGTGAGGAGCGACGAAGGGATACAAGGCACATATGCCCATTGTAGAAAAAGGTGAGAAGGCAGAGAGAAAGAAAAAATTACATGATTGGTTAGTAAGTCACCTTTTGAAGCCAAAGCCCATCAGCCTAACCACCAACTCCACCGCAAAGTAGCATGTAAAGCAGTAATTGACGTAATTGGTGGCCTGCTCCACCTTGTACGGCATGCCGTACCAGTTGATACACATGACAGCGGTGTTCATCAAGATGAGGACGATGGTGGTAACTGCGAGTGTACGGCTGGTCGCCACATGGTATGATATCCGCCGTACGGCACCCAAAGCCTCCACTTCAACATCCAACAACAAACTATCGGAGCTCGTCTGTGCAGGGAGAAAGCGGAATGGTGACCATGTTGCACAATTCAATTTCAATTTCACCTAGCAGCCTGCATTGACACAGAGTGATTGGTTGGGTCCAAAAATGCCAGCAGCCCGTTCATCCGCCCACCGTGCGATTTCGGTTACTGTTATTCCACCTGCTTTTATCTTAGCTGCTGTCTCCAAGTCCCTAGAGACTGCCAGGATGAATGCACCTGAGCCCCAGGACAATACCTATACAGCCGTACATGGCCCCAGGAGTGCGCACTGTTACGACTTTGCGCCGGCCACACAGGTGATCCCCGTGAATTTTGTTTTCCAGCTACCCCACCCCACCCCACGAGGTCCACCCAGCCACCAACCTCACCATTCGGAGTTCTGTCTTCTCCTCTTCCTGCACCTGGCCCTGTTCCTTCTGCTGCTGCTGCTGTTCCACACCATCCGCCGCCCCCAGCCCCGTTAGACCCCACATGGACGTTCCGTCAGAGCCACAACTGTTCGCTGTGCGCATGCTAAAGCTCTGATCCGGCCAGGTGCCAGCTCCAACGCTACTATCACCATCACCCTCCTTCTCCTTTGCCTCGTCCCCGCCTTCGCTGCTGCCGCCACCGCCGCTGCCGCGGTTCGTCCGCCGCGGCTCCGCCATCCGCTGCTGCTGCTGCTGCTGCAGTCGCTGATTCCGGGCCCCCTCCCGCTGCTGCCGCCGCCGCTGCTCCCGCTCAATCTCCATCTGCACCCGCCGCTGCTCCTGTTGGTCGTGTGTTTCGTGGTTATCCGTGGCGAACTGCAGGAAGATGACCGCCAACGCCAGACTAACCAAATAGAAAGCCCCAAACACGATCAGCGCCACGAAGAGCGGCCATACCCACCACGATACCGCATCAGATGCGTAGTACATGACATCCGTCCAAGACTCCAAGGTGATGCACTGGAATATGGTAAGCCAGGCCCACAGGATGTTGTCAAAGCTCGTCATACCGTAGTTTGGATTGTCGTACGCTGTGCAGTACATGCCCTCAGGGCAGGCAAAGCCGCCACCCCGTGGGCCGGTCTGGGCAGTTACGTCGCCGCTGGGAAGCTTGTACCAGAAGGTATCTTTGAGCCGGTTGATAAGGGGAAAAAGGGGAAATTGGAGTAGAGGGTTGGATGAGAGCTGGGTGGGGTTGTGGAGGCATGGAGTTTAATCCTCGGTTACTATCCTAAAATCCCTAAAACCGCTCTAGACGCATAAATTTTATTTTCCATTCATGCATGCTTTTGCTTGTAATGCTGGAAAATTAATAAATTTGTGTGCGAGAGCGCCTGCAAGCACTGTCACAACGGACCTTAACCCAACGTCGTGATTATCATGCACGCACGAAGGTGCAAAACGTTTTTGCATGTGTAATGTTACAGAGTGGGAGGCTTCTGGGCCGCTTTATCACATTGTCAGTTCTACGATTTATCATCTTATAGCACCGTCCACCACTACCACACTATACTTCGCCATACGAACTGTAAGTCCAAGGCGGCGGGTCCAGCCGTCTAGGACCCCTCCTCATCCATTCACCCGAACAACCGAAGAGACGGAGGGTTCGGCAATCGCCACCAATCTAGCGTGCGAATCTGGTCCATCAACTGCGACCTCAACTCCACATCTCAGCAGCTAGCCATAATCTCGCGCTCCCGACTAATTCGGGGGGCTCCCCAGGAATCGAACCCAGGACCTTAAACCGCGACCCGTTTTTGCATGTAAACGCACGTATGTGCATAATACCCAGCCACAGGCACGCGGCCACGTTGTGCCAGGCTAGTACACGTGTCCACAGGCCACCCTGCCCGCTAGGCCGTCGCAGCCACCAACCTGAAGCGAGTGGCCCGCTGCATACATCGCCTGTGTTGTCGTCCGACACAACGTACGACACATTATCAACGGCGAGCTGGCCGGCCTTCAGCGCAACCGGGGTGGTGTATGAGTAGCTGAAGTCCGGCTCGCCGCATCTGAAACGACATACACAACGGAGCTTTCATTTGGCAATGTATGTATGTATGTATGTATGTTGTTACAGGGTGGTATAGCTTCACCAGCGGCCCCCTTTCCCTTGGAGGCAGTTCCCTGTATGTATTACGTGCTAGCAAGAAACGTTTCCGCTGTCATGGTTTGGTGGCGGGGGCCCGCATTACTGCCTGCTGTTTCAACAACCCGACCGCCGCATGCCCGTACGCCCCCTAGGATGCACGATGCACCCATGCATCCATCCACAGCCAGAAGACTAATAGCTAGTCCAGTAAAACGCGGTATGGCGGGAGCTTGGAGGTAGGCAGGAGGGAGAAGGTGAGGCGGACCTACCCTTCCCTGGAGCAGGACAGGGAGGGAGAATCCCGGCCCTCGCCATGTATCCGGTTTCCCTAGCAATGCGGGCGGCTAGGGGGTCCCACCTGTTCTCGAGGGTACCCGCAAAGAGCTGCACCGCCACTATGCCCCACATGAAGAACGTGATGGCGCACAAGAGCACCACGTCAATAAGCATCGGCATGGACTCAATCATAGTGGTCACAAGCACCTGCGCAATGCATGCAACCCGAGGGGGATCATGGAAATGGATGGGAAAAATGGCTATGCTGCGAAATGGGGCCGGGTGAAGCTTTAAGGCATGTTGGGAGAGGGTTCGTTGGGTCGCGATGGGGGTAGAGTCTATCTATGTGCGCGCGCGCGTGTGTGTGTATGTGTGTGTATGTGTGTGTGTGTGTGCGCGCGCGCGTGTGTGTGTGTGTGTGTGTGTGTGTGTGTGTGTGTTTGACACCACCATCTGGAGTTACCGCGTGACCCTCCTAAAGTCGTAACCCCGGGGGAGGCCTACCTACCTACCTGGAGCCCTGTCATGGGGGCCCGAGGGCCAGGGGGCCGTAAGGCTGTAGGTCCAAAATGAATAAAAAGCACACAAGACAACTATTCTCCTATCACTCAACACGAGAAAGAAAAGAAAGATCTGATGATCGAACTGATATATTTATGTGACCGTCAGCACCACGTTCAGATGGTCCCCGCACCGGAGGTTTTAATATTTGGACGAAAGGACGGGACGGAATCCAGATACGATTGCTCCAGAGGGAGGGAAACTTAGGGATGAGGGGTTGTTAGCCGTACCTTCATGCCCCGGACTCGGGTGATGGCGCGTAGCGGTCGAAGGACCCGCACAGTGCGAACTGCCGTCATGTTGCCAGACCTAGGGGTAACGACGGGAGCAGAAGCAAAGAGTGGTGCTGCGTTAAATAGCAGGGGATTTTGGGGTGGGATTTGATTTGCACTGGCGCCATTCGGGTTCTTGTGCATTAGCGATATTGAGTATTGGGGATGCTGGGGTATTGTATTGGGATTGGGCGCGAGGTAGTGGGGTAGATGGCGAGGTAGCGGGGTAGAAAGGTGGATGGTCGGCCCGCACGCATGCTGCAGCAGCAGCTTGGAAAGAGGACCTTCGCAACGCATGAGTGTATCCGTCATGCAATGGGATGGGGGATCGGGGGTTCGATTCCTGGGCAGATCCCCGACATTGATCGGCAGATTGGTTGAATGATTGCGAGGCGTTCCGTCCTCGGCGCTGAGGAGGAAGAGGAGGATGACGAGAGAAAAAAATGAGATAATTCAGACGGAAAAGGCTCGAGCACGCCATGTATGTGGCTTTGCGAGTCTGGGCGGGGAAGAGCCGGTGGAGGAGCGGCAAACGAGCAGAATGGAAGCGCAACTTGGTCTGTTCTTGTTGCGCTCAGCATCACCACCACCCCACGTGACACAACCCGAAAATCGCCACCACAGCAGCGGCACGACTCGGAGTGTCTAGGCATAACGAACTGTGCTGGTCGGCGCCCATGACGGTGCTGCACGGGCGTATTATGTTTAGTACGGCATAGTGCAGTACGGTACGGCACGGCCCCCGTTCCCTGGAAGACCTCAAGAGGTAAGGGAACACATCATCTCGGGCTACCCTGGGTTGCCAACATAGAGTCACTGATCCAGGGAGGAACAGCAAGGCGGGAAAAAGATGCATATCAGCAGAACACAGGCAGCAAACCCCTGATGGGTGGCTTGCTCTCCTCCTCCTCCTTGTCCCCTCCTTTTCCCTTCCCCACATCACCAACTACAGCAGCAGCAGTGGCAGCAGTAGCTGCAGCGGAAGTGGCAGCGCTTGAGGCCCCGCCCTAACCCACACCCACACCCACACCCACAACTACAGCTGATACCCCGATGAAACCATTCGTCTATTCGACCTGGCAGCAGCTTTGTGGAGCGCTGCCAGGTGCTATTGAAGAAACGTGCAGTAAGCAAGGTAATGTCGTCTTGGGTCGTCAATTGGGAGAAATTCATATGGTTTATTTTGCCCTGATGCTAAGTGCAAGGGCGTTTGGATGGCGAAGCCTAAATAAAACATCGGTGAATAAGTGGCTGTTTTCCATTGCTAAAATTATAAGTTGAAGAATTTGGTACTAAAGGTAACACCTCTTTACGATGTGAGAAAGCTACAGCAGGTTGCCAGTCCCCAGTATACTCTGTCCACCACAACTCTGCTGGCTGGTAGCGTGGCATATTTTTCCATCCCTCCATCTGGTAAAAGCCGAAACCGAAGCAAGGCGCTCATGCATCCATTCATTTCTCCATTTTCCATAATGCCACGTTCTACGATGTGTGCCAGCATGATGCTTTGTGCCAGGGTAAGACGCGCTGTGCGTGTTATAAAGTGATGTCGGCAACTCACGTGAAGATGTCAACGTAGCCCAGCGCGACCACGAAGAAATCAATCCAATTCCAACCTGAAGGAGGAATGCGCGGGCATGCTGTCTGATGACATGTGTGGGTCAGGATGTTCCGCAGGGCGGAGGGAAGTATGAGGGCCGCGGGGACCGGAGGAAGCTTGAAAACAAGCCATCGCCACAGCCGCCCTGCACAACTTCTTGCCTTACCGTCTCGCAGATAAGATCCCGGCGCCAAGATGAAGCCCATTGACACGATTTTCAGCAACGCCTCCATAGTGAATATGGCAACCTGCATAGGCAAGACCAGGAAAGTGGAAAGATGGTCAAGGGGGTTCGATAGAGTGAAGTTCCAGCTGTCGGCCAGCCTATCGGCGTCTGCTGTGGCCGCGACATACAGCCGCTCCCCTTCTCGTCTGTCGGAAAGGCTTACCCACATGTACTCGAACTTGGTCAACGTTTGGCCCATTTCCGTTTGATCAAATCCCGTGCGGTGGCTGCTCATCGACAGCGTCACGCAATTGCAAAGAATACAGAAGAGGACAAAGTTTTCGAAAAGCCGAGTATTGGAAACGAGAATACAGAACTGTCGAAAGGAGTTGTGCTTTGATATACAAAATAGTGAAGTCTCTGGATATCCAAGTGCCACAGCCTGTGTGCACGAAACTTTCCGTTACTGTAGTCCAGCCAAAACAGCGTCGAACGGTCCAGAGTCAAGCATCCAAACATACCGCCAAATGTCCCGACGCCAACTTCTTGAGCTTGCGGCTTCCATTTAAAGTATTTGTGGGCCTCTTCTCCTCAGGAGCTGCATCACCTGTCGTTACACCCGAACTGATTGCGGCCGGTCCCTCAAGCTGCCCAGGTCCAAGTCCCATGCGTCCCGTTGTAGAAGCTTTGTAGAGACGTGCTGAGGGCTGTTAACCCCCAGCACGTCCCTAAACACCGAACAACTCTTCCTCCACTAAACTTCTCGTATTGCCTGACCGTTGAGAATTATGTAGGAAACAATGCTACATTGATACAATCCTCTTCGCCATTCGCATTTTGCTACCACGTAAAGGTTAGGGAAATAACCATATGCTGAGCTTTATCACGCTTTTCATTTCACAAATAATTGAAAGTATGTAAATCCTCTCTTGCACGTAGTATAAGCCGTATGGGTGTAAGGAGAAGGCTTTTTTTCACTGTTTTCCCTCCGCCGTACGTATTCGACACCTTTGTCTCCTTGGCAATTAACTACATAGAGCTGATCTATTTTGCACTAGATTAAATAGGTTTCAAATCGATAATCTAGTCAGAGACGAAAAAACCAAGCCCTCGCCGGATGTCCTCTGTCCGTGCCATAGTTTATGCTTACGCTAACCTAAAGCGGAAGACAATCGGGGCAACAAATTGGGGCAACAAATTAGATATAGAAATAAGCTCAAGATCAGCACTCTGTGGTGCCATTGATTTATACAGTAACCGTCACCTTACCTAGCTACTTATCGGTTTGCACTAAGGATGGCCCGCCAGCATAGTTTATGGCTGCTTGCATAACAAATTGCGGGATGCGAGGCGAAGTGCACTCTTGCTTACTTCTGAAGTCGCAACTCGCAACTCGCAAGTCGCAACTCGCAACTCGCAAGGAACACGCAAGATTTCTATTATTCTTTTTATGCGAATACATACGTGTGCATATGTGACTCCGTTTGTAGAACGGATCTCACAATTGGAGAAGTATTGAACCGTTACTACTACAGCAAACAAGTGCCCGAACGCCACCTCTATTTCGATGAGAATTACACGCAAGCGCAAATAGCTGAAGCTTTCGGGCAAGACCTTGCGAGAGGACTGTGCATGCTCCTACCTGGCGAATGGTGATGTCCTGCCGCTTAGAGGACAAACAGGAACACGCAAACCACGCAAGTTTGATGAGATCGCTGCATAGACGCTTGTGGAGCTGGTGCAGGCCGACGACCAAGCTGTCTGTGTGTGTGTATGTATGTATGTGTGTGTATGTATGTATGTGTGTGTGTGTGTTGCAAGTATTTGACACTGGCCTGACACTGGCCAGGGACTGCTGCCCAGCCCCAACGGAAAGACCACCTAAGCTCCTCCCGCAGATGGGAGAGGGGTGTAAGGGGCCTCTGTCCCCTCCAAAGCAGCCGAGAGCCGCAGGTCTGCTAGTTCCGCTCTCCTCCCCCGGGGGTCAAGGCTCCGTCACGCGAGTTTGAGCACTGAGCCTGAAACACACAAGAAGACTGGCTCTTGGGGTGAGGGCTTAAGAAGACCGAGGAAACCCGGAAACCCTGTACAGACCCTACCCCTCCCTAGTTGTTCGATCCGCAACCACAGGGGAATTTGCCATTAGACTCCCCAATTGGCGAAAGTCCTCGGAACCCCACCAGAAGGCCCATAAGCAAATACTGATAAGAACTTGCACGTTGTTACTAGATGAGGCCTGAGTGAGCTTGTGCGTATGAACAGCTACATTGCATTGCTCAGACAGACGAAGCCACATAGGCCGCAAGCCACTTCAGCATAGTTGCGCCTGCGATCGGTGCAGGCGCAGACGCCACAAATGCGCTGTGTTTACACCCTACAGGCGTGGTTCACGTATGTATTCGCGTAAAAAGGATAATAGAAATCTTGTGAGTTCCTTGCGAGTTGCGAGTTGGGAGTTGCGACTTGCGACAGGGAACGAGCCGAAACTTGACCAGGTCTGTGGAATCTTTTCGTATTCAGGAGCCCCTTTGCGGAAAGACTGCGGAAAGCTGCGGAAAGCTGCGAAAACTATAAAATGAATATGTAACGATGTTTTTTTAGCTCTTCTCAGTGTGGCGATGACATGGACAGTCTGAAACCAGCTTGTGGCAGTGCGGTTCTGTCCAGTGGGATCTAGAATCCGGTGGATTCCAATCGTGTTCGAAGGTAGATGGGGTGGTGGGGGCCAAGCGATCAACTATTGTGTGCCCACACCCTTGACGGTGTTCACCCTGCCCCCTTCAAGCAGCCCGCCTCTCTTTGAACCCTGAGACCCCAGGCCTGAGCAGCCCTATCATATACCACCCCCATAGTGTTGTTGGCTGACGGATTGCTCTGGGATGCTCAGAAATTGCCACTCACATGTCACATGGGGTAAGGGCCCGGGGAGCCCTGAAACACTGAATAATAATCGTCTCACTGTCCGTTGCGGAGCAGTGACCCACACGAACCGTCCGGCATGTCTGCATGCCTACTCCACATACCCGTCCGGCATGTCTGCATGCCTCACGGACAAGTCTATGCTGACTCCTGACTATTGGTCAGGAACACTTCTGCGGCAAGGCTAGCCTGTTCGGTATGTCAAACGGGATCGTCATATCAGGAAGGCGAGCACGTTTCCAGTGGCGACGGCAGCCCTTGCAGGTTGCATCGCAGTTCTTGCTCTTGTCGTAAGTACCTCTATCAAGATGTTTCCAAACGTCGTCAACGGGCCTTCCAGCCTTCTTCTGAGCAGAAACACAGCCAATGACTTCGGCAGCCCCCAGGTCGGGGCCAGTGGTTGCTGACATTTGACTTAACCTAATAACTTCATAGTGTAAAACGCAGTCTTTAAATGGCAAACGCATGCCTGGAATTTGTTTTTGACTTTCCGCCGTACAGCAAACGCGGAAATCAGGGAACGAGCCGAAACGGAAACCTGCGGAAACGGAAACCTGCGTAAATAGGTTTCGTCACGCTTTCCGCAGCGAAGCCCAGATTGGCGGAAATGCGGAAAGAGAATCCGCATTTCCGCGTTTGCTGTACGGCGGAAATTGAAAAACAG